CTTACAGCACCTGGTATTCTCAAGCAGTCATCCATCTCAATATTGACTAGGCTTGACATTGCTTAACTTCAGTGATTGTATGAGAACTGGTGTTTCAACTTTATATGACCATAAGCCAAGATTGAATCAGATGCCAAACATCTTGCATGGTATCCATCCATCCAACTGAAGAGGTCAAGAAGAGGGCAACTTCTCCACAAGCCCAATCACAAATCAACAGGTATGTTGTGCTTAATTTGTGTGCCCTCTTACCATCTCATACAGTCATTAATTTTGCTCTCCATGATCTCAGCATTGGTTGTTATAGACATTGAGACATTGTTAGAATAATCTGTGTATCTAACTGAGCTAGTAGCACCAGATAACAAAATCCCACTTAGGAATGAGTTTTCTCTCAACTTGTATGAGAATGGTTCTAGTGTAAAGGTGTACAGCTTCACCGATAATCCTGATGAATAGATTTAGAAAACAAAAATATTTTATCGTACCATGTCAACTTTCATCATAGCTTTTGAGTATGCATACAATAGGTGAATCCAAGTGAAAAAATGCAACTTAAAACTGTCCATGGACAAGATAGCCCCTAAAAAATGATGGTCAAACTTGTCAAAGGTTTTGGACTGATTTAAATTAATCATTGCGGTTTCACTGTTGACTTTCTAATTGATCATGCAAACCAAATGTAGATTATCATGAATCACCCTACTCATATTACAAATCTGTTTAGGGGCTATTAGATGATTCAGCACAGCCTGCAAACAATTTTGGCTAAGACCCTGGTCCAGATCAATAACTCTGTATTTAAAGGATGAAAATTACTGATCTTCTCTCTACTATGTTCTTGTGTTACACCTTTACCACACAACCTGCTTCATCCAGTTATTGTAGATCAGCGCCAGCAATGGGAACACATTGACAGTACATTTTGTACAAAATTCCATCAATTCTTGGAATCTTTTCTGACCTTTTTCAACACTTCCCAGATTTCAACTTCTGTTATGGGAACTTTACACCTAGCTGATTTAGTCACCTGAAAGCAAGAGAAATCATTTGAATAGTCATTAAACAGGAATGAACTCAGACTGGGCTCCCTTATAAAAAGCCTATGAAAGTAGTCATGGAATTCTTCACAGAAGCCATCCTTTCTACAGTACTCAAGATACTATGCATCCATTGATGTGACACTGGTCATATTTCACTTAGTACCATTCTAGAGTTCTATTGCAGACAGTTCTGCATCCAATGCTCATTGCCTTGACAGACATTCTATTTTTGATCTAGGTTTTACAATCAGAGTTTGGTCTTTCTTGAGAAGCAGAGAGATCAGCTCTGCCTTGGCCATTGGTACTTTGCCTACATACTTGACTTAAAAACTGTCTAAATCATTGGTTCGCAGCCATTTTTTATCAATGGACCATTTTTACTCTTAATTTTTTGGTGGACTCCCATAACCATTCAATGGAAAAAAAAATTATTTTATTTTTTACAAATAGATAAATTTAGGAATTGTATTATAGAAATAGGAAATGTATATCTTTTATTTTGAAGTAAAACTAATTCAGTGAAAATAAACTTGTATTTAACAATTAAATTCTATGGAACATATATGTACACTAGTAAAATCATAATAAACTATTTTAAAATATGTGACTAATTAATAAATTAAAAAAGTGCAGATTTATTCAATAAGATCTCTGTGGTTGATGCTTTTGAAGAGGTTAATACTCTTAATCCTTGCTTTATATATAATCCTTATATAATTTATATATTAAATTAATTTCATTATTAATATTTTATATTAATTAATTCATATTAATATTTTATGTTACTAATATTTAAAATTGATATTATTATTATTATTTATATAATAAATTATAGTTTTTATATAATTTTCCATTATATATATATATATTATAAATTAATTGGTTTAAAATATGTTTTTTTTCGCTACACAGTTCTAACCATGTTTCAAAAATGGAAGCTAAAAACTCCGAATTTAATTTTGTAATTAAATTAAAGACATTAGTTCTATTTCATCCTCAAGCAAATTTTGGAGTAACTTTTAAAATTACTGGGTTTTAAAGACACAGCAAAAATCATAATTCACGTTTCCAAGGATACATAGAAATCCACTTCAACCAGACAAGGGGTGTCTGCGTGTTCATTATGGCTTTATTTTGATGTATCAGTTTATATATCTTACTGTTCTTTCTTTTTATTTATATATATATATATATATATATATATATATTTAGGCAGCAGAAGTCATTGGTTTATACCAACGGCTTCACATACTTAATACTTCTCGAATTCACTCTCGCGTGGTCATGTGTGACGTCATGAGCTGCAGTGCCGATTTTCAAGCATCCAGTGTCTTATATGCATGTGTTTATCATTTGTTTGGAAATCATCCTGTAAACAGAAACAGATTATCATCACATTCTTGTCCGTATTGCTTAATATATTGTACTGTAATTGTCATCTTTGATAATGGCTTATGTAAGCTGAAAGCTTAGATTGGATTAAAAAATTATGTATCAATATTGTGATTTTCTCTATTCGTTTTGTTGGGGATGTGCAGAGTTTATTAATTATACTTTAGAGAATCAGAAGGAATTTGTGTAGGTTGCGTGATTTTCTGCATCCACAAACAAATAAATAAACAAATTTTAAATACAGTTAAGAACAAGACATATTCAATTTTGAAACTAATAAAACATTTATATACAATTCAAAACAATATACGAGTAGGATATTTGGTATGTGTCATTATGGCAAAGTGTGTGTGATATTTTATGTTTCAGTATGTCTCTCTTAGTATTTGTTTGTTCATTTACAGTCTTTTTGGATTTGTGTTGATATTAAAATTGTTAATATTAAGTGTCTTTTTAGTAGTAGTTCTTACGGAGTGATCTACCTTTGACTGTATTATTTTTCAAATTGTTCGCACGTTGATTTTCACTTAATAGGTAGTGAATATAATTCACTTTGGATAAGCAAAGTTTGTGATTTGATTTCCACAGAGTTGGTTGAGTTTAAAATGCAAGTGAGTCAGCGGTGATGTACCTTTGCGTGGTAAAATCGTGATTTCAAGTGACGTGGAGTATGTTGGCAATTTCTCTGTGGGTGTTCGTCTCTGACTGCTTGGGTCAGTCGTCGTTTTCTTATATAAGTTCTGAAACTCCGAAATTGGCTCACGGAGTTTTGGCGCAATTTCGCTTTTGCAAGTGAACTTTCAGATTATTGTGTCATTAACCAATGAGATTGGTTGATTCGCCTAGTACGGTTTTTATTGGTTGAAGTTTTCCGTACTTAGGCGTAAGATATAGACTGTTCTGTTACTAGGTGTGATAGGTAGGAAAAAGACGAGTCTACAGTTTAATGATAATATTATTAAGCTTATCAGACGTTATGAAAAGAATTTACATAAAATAAATAGACAACACTTGTCTATATGTCTATATTATTTAATGAAACATGTATGAATATATATATATATATATATATATATACTAGCAGCATTACTTGGCGTTGCCTGGGTTTATTAAAAAAAAAAGATCACGAACCTCATCCAATCTGTAAAGTTAAAATAAAGAAGATTTTTCCCTTAGTGCCTCTTATCTATATGGCAAAAATTATAATGACATGAAGTGTGAAAATATTTATAACAGGAGAAAGTTGTTTTTTACAGAAGCACAGAAGATACAAAAAATTGTCAGCAAATGAAGAGTACATTAATCGCAATCAATCTTCGAAAATTGTTGAGGAGAAATGCTTTGTTGACAGCTTTTGTTCAAACTACATCGAATGAACAACATACATTTGAAGGAGAAGAAAATCAACAAATACTTCTAGCAGCCATGCCAAGGCTGAAAACCAACATTCACAAAGAGTGTATAGAATTGTTCTTTGCCCCTCAGTTTCGACAGCTTGAGTAGCAGTTGTTCTGGCAGCATTCCTTCCTCGTCTAGTTAACTGTTGCTCATTAGTTTCTGCTGACCTTGCATTAGCTGTACGGATAGCATTTTGTGTCAGTCTAATTTGAGTTTCTTGTTGCGAAGCGTTTCTTCTCAGTGCTTTCATGTGTTTGGCTGAAGTAGTAGCACGTCCAAATGAAGGATTTCGCTTTCTTGGCATTACTGTCAGGCTGTAGTTGGAGGGGTTTGGCTAAGCTTTTTGAACAACAATAAAGTAATCAATTAAAAAGCAAGAATATTATACACATTACTGGAAATATAGCCACAATAAATTAAATGGAAGTTTATAAGGGAGACCACGGGAACGTAAAATTAGGATTTATCTAAAAATAGACTACCAAAAAAACGCTTTAGTGATAAAAATAAAAATTAACATGCAGCTAGAAACCTACTCACTATGAACGTTAAAATGTACACGCTAAGTTTAGCATAATTATGAATGAATCAAAAGAGGGTCTTTACATTATTATATGTGCATTTTTCAGAATAAAACTCAAAATTTTAGGGCTCAAGTTTCCAAATATGAGTTAGTAAGCATTATTTAAACGCTGATTAGAAGATGATAAATACATAATAAAAAATTGGCATTTATGCTTAAACTTTTCTAATAATATGATTTTCACAAATTTAAATTTAAAGTATCAAAAATTCAAAATATACATGCATGAAGGCAGCCTACCTTTTTACTGGATGACAACTTTGATGCGAATGAGATTTTTTGCATTTATTTCATCACATAGCGCTAATGAATACTACACGTGAAGCAAAATTGATAGTACGCACTACATAACTTGATCGATCATTGCACGTGGAGCAAAATCAATTGTACACACTACACATCTTGATAGATCTTGCACACGCATCTTATACCTATGTGCACTTCTCTCATCGGTGCACACTGTCATTTGCACTTATTCTTTTTTTCTTAAGGAAGGATATAATTTTTGCCATGAAGTTAATGCAATCGAAACTATTTCAGTACCAAAATGGGAAATCCATGGGAAAAACTGATATTTTTCATAATGTATTTATGACACATGGGGTGTCAGTTTTGATTTTGAGTTGATTGATCTAAACACAAATTATGTGCAAATTTTCATCGGAATGCTGCTTACCACTACAATTGAAAGACTTA